CCCCTGTAGTACCTGCAGCTATAGCCCAGACAAAGACGAAGAATCCAAAGACGGAGAATATGTCGTTGATCCAAACACGCAACCGAGTGTGGGCGTCGAACACTGGTCGCTACCACTCGATGGAGGGAAGGCCTGCACACTGAGAGAGGTCGGTGGACAACTGCTGCCAATGTGGCCGTCGTACTTCGAGTCCTGTCACTTTTGGCTTTTCCTGGTCGACGCCAGCAACGCCACTCAGTTAGCAGCCGCAGCAATCGAGTTCTTTTCCATCCTGAGTGTAGACGAAATGAAGTACAAGCCCAAGCTATTGGTGATCAACCAGATCGATGCCAGCTTTGTGATCGACGACACTATTTTACAGACGTATCTATGTCTTGACCGCCTGATGAGTGAACCAGATAGCGGCCCGATACAGATCATCAAAGCCAGTGCGCTAACGGGGGAGAACGTCGCACAGATCCTCAAGTGGCTTAGCCACGCTGCGAGTAGTGGTCTCTTTTCAGGAAACAATCCTAGCATTGGACTTACTGGGCTCAGTGGGTTTAGCGGTCGTTATCGGACGGTTGGACGGCAGAACTCGGCTAGCGATATGCGCGTACATCCCGTAGCGGAGTAGCCAACGAACATAGCGATAAAATGCGACGGTCATGTATTATTCATTAGTTCCTCTCGCCTTCGTGACAGTAAGGGTATTCATCAGCGAGAGTGATGTTCGTAGCCATGCTTGTTTTAGCGGCCTGGAACAGACGGAAGTGCTGCAAGTCACGACTAATGTTGCCGATAGCGATGACAGCGCAGTAGATACCGAGCACGATACTGCTGATGATGGTCAAGTGGCATACAAACCGATCGCACTTGCCCCGAAATGTGTGCGTGGCGATCGGGTGGACGCGAAGGTAGCACAAGCACGGCATGATCATACACGAGACGGTGACTGCAGTGGCCCCGATCAAACTCAAGATATCCGTAAAAGAAGACTGAAACATGATGGCGAGGAAAGCCTGCGACCACACCGTGATCGTACGAATCAAACCACTGCACAACCGGTCGGACGTTGTGTAGGCTTCGCCTGCGTAGTCGCCGTTATCACTCGGGGGTGGCGACGTCGCTTGGAAGTACGGAGTGCTGTTGCCGTACAAAAAGCCTTCTTCTTCGAGTATAGTCTTGGGTGGAGCAAGCGTACCGATGGCTCCTGAGTTGGCGAGAATAGGCTTGCTCTGTCCAGACGTAGCAACACCTTTGGTAGCGCGTAGACTTAGGGTTTGTTGGAGCACCTCGTGGTCTGCGTCTTTGCCAAGGATATAGCGCTCCATATCGAACAAGGTGGGGTTAAGCAGCAACGGGAATGCGATAGTAACGTGAGCCAGCATTAACGCGGAGGCAGCTTTTCGAGCGGAGCTTTCTTCCGGTAGCTGGTCTAACAGAGTAGCAGGCGCAGTGCAGCCAAACTGATAGTACGTCACGACCCCGATGAGCATGTAAATAGACGTGATGAACAGCAGTGTGAGCGACACCAAATTAGCTAAACGAGCTGGATCCGTATGCTGCCGCTGAATGGGCGGAATGATAATGGCGGTGCCCGTGGCGAACATTATAGTGCCGAAAGTCTGAATAGCGTTGTCGGTCTGAATCTGCGTCTCTCGAGGCGATGACTGGATGTTTTGGAGACTATAACCAATGCAAATGACATCGGCAAGCACAGCTACGAGGCCGCCCATGTAGGCCAACGGGGCTGCAGCTTTCAGAGTAGGGATCAAGATCACAGGCATCACGCCGAGACTCATGACGATAATCCAGTGCGTGGGGCTCCACTGTTCTCCGGCAACGGTGCCGTCGAAAATACAGGGCAATAGAGTGGTGCCACCAAGAATGAAGAAGGCAATGGGGCTCAGGAAGCAGGCGCCCCACTCGGATAGCAGTACGACGCGGCGTCCGATTTCTCCGAAGGCGAAATAGCCGAGATCACTGAAGGTTCGCACGTTCATAGGCGCCACCATCAACGACTTGCTAATTGCAACGCTGCAGTGGCACAATGCATGGGCCGGGGTTAGTAGATAGCATTGTTGTTGTTAAGCTATTGGATCTATGTGTGTCATTCCGAACCTTGCGTGGAGGTTACAGGCCGAGATGAAGTAGACGCCCATGGCGGCCAGCACGGGTCCAGCGGCCGCGAAGATCGAACCAAAGCTCATGGACCCCACGCCAA